TCTTAGCTAGCACAGCACTATAAAGGGGAAAAAACATTGTGTCAGAGACTCCCATCCACTGCAAAGCAGGCACACTCCTTTTGGGAAACAGTAAGGACTCAATAAAGAAATAATAATTGGGGCACCCGGGTGGCTCAGTTGGTTAAGTGGCTGCCTTCGGCTCAGGTCATGATTCCAGGGTCCTGGGATCAAGCCCTGCATTGGGCTCCCTGCTCAGCGGAGAGCCTGCTTCTCTCTCTCCCCCTCTCCCTGCCGCTCTGCTTACTTGTGCTCTCTCTAGCTCTCTGTCAAATAAATAAAATATTAAAAAAAAAAAAAAGAAATCATAATTAAAAACAGCGTGGGGACGCCTGGGTGGCTCAGTGGGTTAAGCTGCTGCCTTCAGCTCAGGTCATGATCCCAGGGTCCTGGGATCGAGTCCCGCATCTGGCTCCCAGCTCCACAGGGAGTCTGCTTCTCCCTCTGACCTTCCCCCTCTCATGCGCTCTCTCACTCAAATAAATAAAATCTTAAAAAAAATAAGAAAAAAAAATAAAAACAGCGTGGACTCCAACACAGGGCACAAGGCATGTACCAGCTCAAGACATTTATTGAAAAGTTCCTTCTAATAAAGAAAAAAAATTTCAACAGAGAAGTACATAAAATACACACCACGGTGAAAGGCCACAGTCATTAAAAATGAAAACCGTGAAGACCTCCGAACTACTCAGAAATAGCACTGGCAGGGCTAAAGACAGCAGAATTCAAAGTGCCATCATACCGTAAAATTAGGCAAAAATGGTGACTAAACACAGGCAAACACTGGATGGGAAAGATCTAGAAAATGACACCCAGGGAGTTGGGGAGGTAGAACAGTAGTTCCAACTTCGTTTTTATTTCAGCTTCTGCGAACCCGATATTACTTGTACAATACAAAATTCATCTAAATATTGTTCCTATGTAAAAAGCCTTCTGGATCTGATTCATATTCCAATGCCGACTGTTACAGTCAGTATCAAGGAATCCTGTCCAAAGCCTCACCTGTCCAGTCTCTAAAAAAGAACCAGACCAGCTGCTATTAATGCCCCAGCTCTTCCAGTTAAAGGGAGGAGCAAAGGTGTTAGGAGAAAACCCCAATGTGCTGACAGCCTCTTATATTTAAATAATATATTATACTTAGCATGTCCTTACTTAAGCAAGGATTTCAGATAAAGTAGTGACTTGCCAAGATCCCGTGAGTCTACTGGCCAAGTCAGGCATTGGCTCTTGAGGACAGAATCCTGGCTCAGGCCCTTCCTGGCTGGGCTGCCCAGAGCAAATGGCTCTAGTTCACCTTATCTTTTAAAATATAGATAATACAAGCCATTTTGGAACTACAGTGAGGACTAAATCTGATAAAAGGAAATGAGTTTCCATAGACAGAGGATGGGGGGGAACGGGGGACAGTATGGCTCTTCAGGTCTTCTCCCATTCCCAAAACCTAGGGCCTTGTAGGTCCCCAAAGCACGGCAGGGGCCAGCTGAGTTCTGGCAAAGGCAGAAGAGGCAAGGCGTTCCAGACCGACCTTAGTACCCAGCACACAGTAAGTGCTCAAAGCAGGGAGCCCTCTGTCATGAGCTGATGATTAAGAACAGGCAGGAAGCCATCAGCTCTGTGAACTAACTCTGGCGCCTTTAACTGTGAGACTCCACACGGTGCTTCTGCACTGCATACCAATGGCAGCATTTACCACGGTGGGAGACAAAGTCTTCTGCACGTTATCTTCAGCTTTAGTTACCAAATATGCCTCTGCGTGATCCTACTTACAAACATTCAGAGAGAGAACAAACTGATGGTTTGTTCATCCATCGAAGGGGAGCTGGGTGAGGAACGGGTCAAAGAGGTAACCGTGGTTCAGAGCGCAGCTCTCATGATGAGCCCTGGGTAGTGTACACAATTGTTGGCTCACTGTATTGCACACCTGAAACTAACAAACACTGTGTGTTGACTGCACTGGAACTCAAATTAAAAACCCAAAAAATAAAATATTCAGAAACCACTGCTTTCCCAAAAGAAAAGAAAACAGTCCTACTAATGCTGTCTTACTCTATCAATCCTACTTTGGTGGATAAAGCTATCTTCTATGAAACAAAATCGTGTCTTGGAGGTAAAATTTGCAAACTGTAGCTCAAAGTGCTGACGGGTAAAGCAGAACTCTCAAGGACAGTTAAAATGAATATGCCTGTTCGATTTCAATGGCTTTATTGATCTTTTTCATTAATTTACTGTAATATACATAAACTGTTTTAAGTCACATCATTTTCTCGTGGATTTCTGTCCCATGTGCCCGACCAGATCAGAATTGATGTGATCTCTGAAATTTTTCATTACTGAGAATTCAGTGCATGGCAAATCACTGTGCTGTCCTTCCAAGAAGTGACAAACCATCCCCTTCTGTGAGCACCTTTCTGTGGGCACAAACTTTAAGACAGAGAATCAAGAGGACTCTTTGTAGCTATGAGGTCAGCACCAGAGAAATTCCTCTTTACCACGCCAGCAGCGTGCACCAGACCCGTTCCTGAGACCATCTGCTTCATTCCTTCTGAGAGTCCAGCCTGCACCCTAGAGCAAGAAGAGAGTCACAGGACAACAGACAGCCAGGACTTGCTGGTTCCTCTGCTGGGAGGTGGAGGCAGTCTCATCCTCCAGAAATTCTTAGCTGCACTGCCAACTGCTCTCAGAAAGGGACCATACCCTCCCCTTCACGGGAATATCATTCTGGTCATTCGACAGAAACACACAAAGACATAGTGGTCAGCCCAACAAGGACTACACCCATAGAAGCTGTGGTCTGAATCAGTGGACAGCAAATCCGACACATGGTTGAGGCTGCAAAAAAGCAGAAGCTAGAAAGGACTTCGGTTTAAATCACGGTCTTCTCATAACATAGGCTGCTTTGCTGGAAGCCCTTCCCACTCTGTCCTTTCCAAGGGATGGAAATTCTATTGATTGTATGTGTGAGAGTAAAAGGCACTGTGCACTAAGTTCACCCCAGGCGGTTCATCACACTGCTTTATTCATAAGGCTGGGGGACAGGGTAGGACCGCACAAATTTAACATCTTGCTGTGCCTGAAATGTTCGTTAGTGTTCCTATTGGCAGTCACCTGCCTACCCCAAGAACCTCTCTGCTAATTTAGAGAGACTATAATCTGCTCACATTTGAATTATAATGAACAGGAACATTTCCACTGGAAAAATCGTCATGCATCTCAATTTGTGCTGCAAATTAGGTCTTTGGAAAAGGGTGGGAAAAAAACAAACCTGATCCTCTTACATATAGTAATTTGCCCTAATTGGTGTATAATGGGTCAGATATAATTTGTGGATTACCCCCACATGGTAAATAGTTTATTTAACGTTTTAGAAGTACCAAAAATTAGCCTTATTATTTGATGGTAAAAGGTTCACTCCCGACCATACATTCTGGGGACATTTTGAAACTAAACATAGACTGTATATTTAAATGGTGGGAGTACAGTTGGAGCAGAACAGGTTTCCTGAGTCCTATGTCATCCAGATACATTGTCTGATGAAATCCATAGGGGGCTCCAAGCTCCTTGCAGAAAGGGTTAATTCCTAGAGAATATTAATTATACGGTAAAGGTCAGTGGAAAATAAAACACAAAGCTGACTCAGTTCTTACTCTTGTTTCTTTTCCTTCCTTTTAATACCTCCCCCTCATTGGGGAAATTCAAAAACAGTACTCTTTCTCATCAACATCCACAACAATTTTTTCTCAAATGTCTACTTTCAGGAAGCCTTTGGGACATCACTACATGGCCAAAACGACCAACCATTAGTAGTTTTGTCTTTAATTGGCGCCAGGACCCAGGCAGGTGATAGTGGTCTGGGCTCAGGCACGACTGACTTGCTGGGTTGCTTCCATTTCCCAAGGATACGCCCGCAGCCCCGCCTTTCTCCCAGCACCCAGGTGGAGAAGGAGGAAAACACTACTAGTCCAAGGTAAAGTGGAAGCGGTGAGTTAATGGCACTCACAAAAGCAAGAAAAAAATCCAACCGTCACAAACTTCTCTCGGGCTTCCACAAGCTATTTCCTTCCCTTTCTAAAAGTTTTATATTTAGTACATTTGAAAAAAAAAAAAAAAAGTCGGTATTGCTTACCTCTGAAAATACTAGGTATATTCGTTACTAGAAAGTAAGGAAAATCTCTTTTAAGAAGTAGAATAGAACACTGAAGTCACGTTCACATTCCCACCACCCCCGGAAACATTTGGAGGAGGGGTACTCTCAAGTGTTTGTGAATGAGATTTTTAAAACCCAGTGTGGACCATAAAGCGTAATTGGGGTCCCGCTGTGTTTATGGCTTGCGATCTCGGGGCTTTTTGTTTTTTAACTTGGCCTCATGACGTTGCCATTTCCCCTTCCAAGTGCTTACAAATTCCTTGCAAACACTTAGAAAAGTTCTAGAACAAATACAAGAGCAATTCCTTGTAAATTACACTCCCTCATCCAAGTTGAACTGGACTCCCAGCTATTTTTTAAGAAAAATTACACTTTTCTGAAACTTCCTCATCTCTGTGCCAATTCCCGGAGAAAGTGGGGGGAGCTCACCAGAAAAGCTCCCCGCACACCGTCCACCCCTCCACGCCAGATCCCCCAGCGCTACAAACGCAGGCGCTACGCCCCTGCCGCTTCCCGCCTGCGCTCCCCTCGAAACGCGTCCACTCCAGGGGCTCGCGGCTCCACCGGCCCGGCCTGCGACCCCCGGGCTCCCACGGGGACGGAGGCCACCGCCGCGCGGGAAACACCCAGACTCTTCCAATCCCGGCCCCCACCGCGCTGACCCACCGCGCACACCTGCAGGGCGCGCCCGCTCCGGCGTTCCCGGGGCGAGGCTGGCCAGGTCCGCAACGCGGTAGCCAAGGGCCACGTTTCCAGCCCCAAGCAGGGAGGAGGGCCGGACGCAAAAGGCAGGCCGGCCGGGCGGCGTCCGGACTGGGGCGGGCGCCGGGACCCTCACCTGGGAGCGAGACGCCAACTCCATTCTTCCTACCCGGGCTCCGGCCTCTTCGTAGTACGCGGCTCTGGGAGCCTGGCTCGCCACGGGTCCGGTGCACGCAGAACACCCGCGGCCGCGCAGCCCGCGCGCTGCGCCCAGAGCTGCGGCGGGCCGGGGGGAGGGGCGCACTCGGCGCCCGGGACAGGGGGGGAGAGCGCCGCGCCGCTCCTCGGCGCCTCTGCGCCCGGCTGCCGGGCTCGGGTCTCGGACCAAACTTCGCCACCGGGACACTTGGCTTCGCCCGCGGCGTGAGAGGGGGCTGCCGATGGGCGCGGCCCGTGGCGCTGCCAGTGCGGGGGCGCCGGGCTCCCCCCTGCAGCGGAGGGAGGGAGTGGAGCCGTCCGGCCGGGTTTCGCGCGGGAGAAATGAGGGGGCAGTCCCGGCGCAGCCTCCAGCTGGCACGCCCGGCTACGCGCGCCAGATATTTGCAGGGTTTGTTCCAGCTCCTGCCCTGAAGCACATGCCTCTGCTGCAATCCGTGTCTCCGCTCCGGGAGAGTATTTTAGAGCTACTTCGGAGCTCATTTTGTTTACTTGTTGTAAAGGGGCGGGGTTCCGCCGCCTCCCCAAATATTGCTACAGTGTTCACTTTGCACCATAAGCAACCCGGGTTTCCTTACCGAGGCCCTGGGGTTGGGAAGCTTCAAATCCCCTCGAACGTTCCAGAGATTAGAAATACTGATTAACAAATACTGGCTGAACAACTACTATATGTCAAGCACTGTGTTAGACCTGGAAACACGAGATGGAACAAAAAAGAAAAAAACAGGTCCCTGCTCTCTTGGGAGCTTACAGTCAGGGAGCCAGCCACCAGCAAGATGATATATAAGTGCAATCATGATACAAGTAAGTGTAATAATAATGTAGCAACGAATTTCATTCATAATTTAACGATTCAAATACCATTAATGTGATAGTAAGCTCAATTATAATGATGCAAATAAAAGTAAATTCGGAGCCATGATCGATGCCATGAGGGCAAAGGTAAATGGTACTATGGTGGCTTAAAACAGGGAGACTTAATTTGGCACAGGTCAGGGAAGACTTCTTAAAGGTTCAGGTAAGCAGAGTGAAGAAGTGGGTGGAGAGTGTGGAAGGCTTGAAGAAGGTATTGGGGAAGGCTTGTAGGGAAGTTGTCCTGGAACCAGAGCAGGCTTGAAGAAGGTATTGGGGAAGGCTTGTAGGGAAGTTGTCCTGGAACCAGAGCAGGTTTGCGGAGCAATATCGAAAGCCTTTTAGCACTGTGGTCACGAATTCAGAGTGGACCACTGTACGCACGAGACCTTCTGCAGCCCTTCCTGGCTGCTTGGGATCTGATATTCATCTTTTCTTTGTTGAAGCAGTGAATGAAGTTGGCCAAACATTTGCTCAAGCTTGAGGAGAGAACATCTGGACACTGCCCTCCTTCCTACTTTCATTGGTTCAGCAGATACATGTGTTATGTCCTCTCCATGTTCCAGACTGTGGGGGAAGAAAGATCAATAAAACATAATATGATTTTTTTAAAGTTTTCTCTTTATTGGGTAATTTAAACTTCATTATAGCCACTTTCATTCTGATTATGCTTTAGAGTTTTCCTTCATATATATAGTATCTTTTTGGATCTTCCTAACATTCTTCCAGATTCTTACTACCCACATTTTTTAAATGTGGAGACGGAATCTAAGATGATGCATTACGAGAAAGATCCCTGTCCCCCTGCTAGTAAATGACAACTGCAGACTGCCAAACTGGAAAACACTCCTTATGCCTCCAAATCCAAAATTTATCTTTTCCTTTTGGCTGCTGGGAAACTCAAGAGTGAAATGTGTTCCACTGGAATTTTTTTCTTTTTCGGTGTATTTGCTTTCCCATGAACCACTGATGTTGTTTTCACTTAACTTCCTTCCAGTGTAGGATGCATCAAATCCCTTTTGCAAAAGGGAGTATAAATTTGAAATAGGTCAGAGTGTGCAAATTTGCAGATTTTGAAGTAACCTAGTTCCTATTTGGAAACCTGTATGTAGCTGCGCCTTCTTGCTTTAGAAATTTGCTATAACTAGTCCTAAGTCTTCAAATGGCAACATGGAAACTTTCTTCCTTTGTCCTGAAAAGCCCATGCACTTGAATAGTACTTAGTAATTGATTCTATAGTGCTGTTTTTTGTTGTCAGATTTTGGCTCCATGCTATTTGACCCTTGAACAACCTAGGGGTGAGGGGGGCCAAGCCCCAGCACAGTCAAAAACCCTATAGAACTTTTGACTCCCCCAACACTTAACTGCTAATAGCCTACTGTTAACACATATTTGTTATTTGTTTACACACATTCTTACAATAAAGTAAGCGAGAGAAAAGAAAATCATACGAAGAGGGGCACCTGGGTGGCTCAGTCGTTAAGCATCTGCCTTCTGCTCAGGTCACGATCCCAGAGTCCTGGGATGGAGCCCCACATGGATTCCCTGTTCAGCCGGGAGCCTGCTTCTCTCTCTCTGACTCCCCCTGCTTGTGTTCCTTCTCTCAGTGTCTTTGTCAAATAAATAAATAAAATATTTTTTTAAAAAAAGAAGAAATCATACAAAGAGAAAATACATTTACAGTGCTGTACTCGATTTATCTAGAAAAATCCACATGTAAGTAGACCTGCAGTTCAAACCCATGTTGTTCAAGGGTCTACTGTACATCCTACTCATGGTTACTGATGGGAGCATGGTTGTGAGCGTTGGGTTTCAGCATGGCACTGCAAGAATGAGTGTCCCTTCTCAGGAGCAGTAGTACACATATTGCAACAGAGGAAAAGGAGATGGCAAGTGTTGCAAAATTTCTTAAAGAATCTCTGTTTAGAAATCTATGGTTGCTTTTTAAATGTGTCTGAGATTTAAAACGGGGTCCGTAATACCTTCAACAAGATAAGAAATTTGGGATTAAATGCTACTGCACATGCCTCAAATGACATGAAATAGTTGTGATGATCGTTTATCATTCCTGGCCCACAACTTTTTCCTCCATAAAAGGAGTCCAAATATTTCTCCTCTGCTCTGAAGTAGTGGCTTTGCCCTCCCCATGGAGCTCAGCTGTGGGCAAATCCTCAGTGCACACTTTATAACAGAGAAATGTGTCAGGTTGGAATTCTAAACGCCCAGCAAAGAATTCACCTTTGGCAGAGGGCTGGAAGCAATATGAATTAATATCTGAATACCACTTAGCATTACATTTGATCGTGAATAAATGAAATGACAGTCACACAAGGTAACATCCACACTTGTTCTCTTTCACAGTATCTTGAAACTCCCATCTCATCGAGATTAGATAACACCTCATCCAAATGGGGAGATGTCTCTAAATTTGAGACGCTCCAAGAAAACATTTCCAAGTTGTCGCAGAATAAAAGATCTAAAATCAAGTCTCTTATAGCAAAGTCGTCACCTAACAGTGAATGGGTGCTGATCTGGGATGTTTCCTTTAATTCCAAGTTGGTATTCTGTCTTGCTGATTTAGCTTGCCAAGAAACTGCTGTCATAGCCAATTTAAATACATTCGGATAATAACCACTTGAACAGCTATGGAGAAAAAGAATGACCAATAATCGATGCCTTCATATATTGGCTGCAGAAGAGTATACATCATGGTGAAACTGTAATGCCCATGGTTCCAGCAAAAAGCCAATAGTCATCGTGGTATCAGTAATAGCAGTAGCTAAATGAGCACTGGCTGGGCACCAAAGCCTGTGCTGAGTTCTCTTTGCAAGCATTCTCTCATCTAATCTTTCAACTGTGACAGTTACCCATCTGCTCCTCAAAAATAGTGCTGGGAAAATAAATGAAAGAATATTTTCAAAGCATTTGAGACTTCTTAGAGACGGTATATAAACTCAAAATATGATGAGTGTGATCCATATTTCATAGGCTTTTTGGAAAATATATAGTATTAATAATTTGGTCTCTAAACATAAAATATAATTATGACTAGGCACTGACAATAAAGGGATGAAAATGAAAAGATTATTCAAAGCACTTACCTTTCTAAGAACTTAAGGTATTAAAAAAGGAAAAGATAATGATCTATTTCTACATCAGTGGTACCGATAAAGGCACTCTGGTACACAGTTTTTAAAGAACTAAGTTTTTTCACAATGTATTAAATATGCAGCATTTTTTTTTATTAAAGATTTTATTTATTTATTTGAGACAGAGAGCCAAGGGGAGAGGGAGAGAGAATCTGAAGCAGACTCCATGCTGAGCACAGGGTCAGCCCAGGGCTCAAGCTTACCACGGTGATACCATGATCTGAGTCACAACGAAATGGAAAATTGGGAATCAGAAATGTAAAATTTCTCTAAGTAGTTGGCTCTACAAATATTCTGTATTAATTCTATATGTATTTTTTATAACAACTTTCCAGACTTTGTAGAATTTCTGGTTATTACAGATTTATTCTTTTTTTACTTGGAATAATCAAGTATTTATACTGATAATAAGGCTAAATCACATTTGTGATAGAAAATCCACAGGCTTGGGTGATTGTGGGTTCATTTATTGTTCCTTTATTCCCTTAAGCTTCCAGGCAATCTTACGAGCATGGATATTTGAGAACCATTGCCCTAGCCTAGCTTGGTGTTTTGCCAAGTAGGATCCTCAGCCCAGCAATATCAGCATCACCTGTTTTAAAAAAAGTTCCAATTCTTGGGTCCCACCCCAAACCTACTAAATTGGAAACTCTGGAAGGGTAGCTCAGCAATCTGGGGTTTCTTAATCACCATCCAGGTGATCCTGATTTTTGTTTAAATTTAAGAACCACTTTGGTGGTCCTCCAAGGTCTACTGTTCACCAGCTGGGTGACCTTGGGACTAATCACTGAGCTTCACTTTTCTCATCTGGAAAATGGGGATTCCGCATGGCTGCCAAATCCCTGGAACAGTATTCCTGCAGAGAAGAACGTGTCACACCGGATGTGATTGTACTTCCAGAAGGCTAGCGTGGTGGACACTTGTAAAGTGATATTAATATGAATGACCTTTCCATTTTTTGAACACTGACCACATTCCAGGACCTGCGTATGCGTAATTATACTCAGTCACCACCACTGACGTGGGATGTACATAACATATTCCTCATTTCTCAGATGAGGAAACTGATGCTCTGAG